GGAGTGAAGTTTCCAAATAGAACACAATGAGATATTCCAGAAAAATCACTTTGTTGAATTGTTTTTCGATGTCGAAATCACTGATTTCAAATCTGTAATGAAGTTGATATTTTTTCTATCACTCAATGTTTCTCGATAGAATTCTGTAGAAGTTTCTAGAATTTTCCACAAATTCCATTTTTGAGCTTGGTTTTCGATGTCAAAACCAGTGATAAAGTCACTATTTTTGTATCACTTACGGTTTCTTAGTAAGATTCTATAGAAGTTTCCATAATTTTCCAGAAAATCCACTTGTGAGGTTGTTTTCGATGTCAAATCCAGTAAATAAACTTTTTCAGTTGAATAAAAGTTTTTCTGCTTGTTCCCACTAATTAGCTCAAATTCATGAACCAGCTGTCATGCTAAGTATTTCACTAATTAGCTCAAGATAGTCCAGTAGTTATCTTGCAAATTATTTCACTATTCAGCTCAAATTATTGCACCATTAATTATCTTGCTGAATGATCCTATTTTGCTTGAACTATTGCATCAATTTTCTTACTAAAAATCGCACAACAAATTTTCACGAATTCCGGATTCACTAAAACTCACTTCACAAAGAGTAAAAACTTTTACTGCCTTTATGAAATACACTTATCACTCATGGAAAAGTACACAAGAAATCTAGAATTAAAACTAAACTCAAACTTATTACTACGAGCTATTTACAGTCTAAATCGCATTCCGGATCTATCTTCTCGAAAAACATGTTTGTCAAAATATAATAGAATTCCTAGAAAACACGCGCTGCCATCAGTGATGGGCGTGTGAACTATTTGAAGTATTTTACATGACTGTTTACATGTAAACAACTGTATTGTCCACATAGTGATTCTCTATGTTAGCAACGTAGACTATGTAGACCATGTAAAAACAACGCATTTTGTACTACAAAAAAAAATTACATTTCTGTAAAATAAATAGCAAATACTTATCCAGTAACCAAAATAAACGATATACCAACGTAAAACTAAAAATCCCAGCAATTACAAGACACATTTCTTCATCTGCTTTATTGAGGTGGTAAGAGCACCCCGCTGTTTCTTTGGTTGCGTATCTTTTGATAAAAATCTTGCTATGGATTATTTCCCAGAAATAAAAATTGAAAAAAATAACTTCACAAATCTTTAGATAATCGATCATAGAAATCGATCAAAAAATGTTTATGTCAAATTTGAGGCAATTCTGATGTGCCGTTTTTTTTTCGCACCTTCAAAACGATTTCACTAAAATGGGCCAAGGTACGCATGTGCATGGGGTGCTGTTGCCACCTTAACGTGAAATCAAAGTTACTTTTGAGCCTGTCTGGCAGCGACATTATCAAAATTCAATGTTTTCAGAATCACAAACAACTAGTTTTTGTTTTAAGGTTTTCGTTTTTGTTTAGTGAAACATAACCTGAATATGTCAAATTTCGAGCGTTGTGTACATTTTTTACGCTTTATTTTACATTGTTGACAACTTGTTTAACTGTATGGATACTTCACGTGTAATGGAACAACCGAGGGAACAACACTGGCTGCCATACGTAAACAATGAATTTCTTAGAATCCTGGCTTAGTTGTCGATGCATTTTCGTAACAATACTCCAAATAAATTTCCTAAAAGGCAGGTTATATGTGTTGAGATTTGAAAATAATCATAACCTAAAGGTGAGTTTACACATGCATGGATTTAGTGGCGCCAGTGGTCGCGCCAGTTCTATTTGCACGCCAGTAAAGGTTTACACTTTGTGTGAAAAACAGAAATAAGTGGCACGCCAGTTCCACTTTTAAAGTGCTTTTCTCAGTGTGCAATATGTCAAGTCAACTTTCCGAAGCCTGTAAAATATTCGCTAAACTTTTGGTAAAAAAAAAAATACATAAAAGAAATACAGAAAATGAAACGCAACCAACGAAATAGCCGTTTCTGGGTTGAACCATGGATTGGTCGTCGACCCACTTTGGCTGCTTCTGCAAAACTTCTAGGAGAACTCGTAACAACCGAAATGAAAATCAAACGAAAAACTGGCGAGCGGACGCCGACGTAAAAGCACTTGTTTACACTTGCAAATTTTGATTTTCTGTACGAATTTGTCGCCACTGGCGCCAGTGATTTCAGAAGGATGTAGACTTTTTTGGACTATGCATGCAAATATAAAATGTGTATGCAAGTCCATGTTTACACTTGCTAATAAAATTTACTGGCGCGCCAGTTTTTATTGGCGCCACTTAATCCATGCATGTGTAAACGCACCATAATGCCTAAAATGTAAATGTAAACAAATATTTCTGTTTATATTTGAATAAGCATTTTAATAAAACTTTCCAACCAAAAAGTCACTGGTTCGGAAATATTTAAGTGAAGGTGCAAATAAAAATGTAAATAATGATTTGTAGAGAGGAAATGCCCGACATTGTAAACGCTCAGGAAAATAAATCATGCCCAAGCTGAATTTCAAATACATAGGTATATTTTTTAAAATGCTACGCAAGCTGAATAGGGATGTATCAATTACGAGTTTTGATTTATTAGTATAAAGTATATGATCGAAAGATCAAATACTAGCAATCTGCTTTTACTTAAAAAACAAAAAATACCTATTTGAAATGACTCGAAACCGTTTCCTGTCTAGAGAACGGCTTTATAAGTAAATACGTAATCCCTACACACTTTCAAAAGTCTGCTCTCCGAAAACCACATTTTTTGTGGTATTGTCTTTATCTCAAAATTCACACCATATGCAAAAGTGTAATTCAACCCGATTAGAGTATTTGGAGTATTTCTATAACTTTTCTATAGAATTTCGGGATGCCTATGTATTAGTTTTTTTTTTCATAGAATAGGTACCTACATAATATCCTAATTAAACCGTTGGTTATCCATGATTTGGGCTTATTGATATTATCATGTGATCCATGAAAATATTTAGTGTTTAATTAGTGTTTCCTGTTTTCGCTGAATTTTGTTCACGTTTGGATTTTATAATGAGGGATGCTGATGAAGTTTTCATCTCTACACTTGAGGATGTTTCACCATGTGTTCAGCGTTCCTTTGTTGTGCTTCTAGATACGATTTTCTCACTTGTTTGTATTCCGATTTGGATTGTAGATTAAACTAATTTTTCATTTGAATCATTTCTTCTCCTAATGATCAATTTCATCTCTAATTTTTCCTATTGTTTGTAGCAAGGATTGCTTTTGATAGCATAGCCATTTTTGTAGCAGCATACTTTCAACCTTGAGCGCTGATGGTGAAAATTATATGGAATGAGGTTCACTGATAAGGTGAATGTTGTATAGTCTATCGATAGTCAAATGAGACAGTAAAAAAAATAATATTCCTTTGGCCGTCTGCGTTTTCTTTATGAAGCACCGGCGGAGTAAGAGAAATTTATTAAAACAGTTTTATATAAAATAAAACATGAGGCACGATACAACTCAAATAGGAATCAAATTTATAAAAACTATCTACTGCACTGTCTTTCCAGACGAAACTGATTAGCAAGCGGCGGCCGCTTCTAAGAAATCTGCCGCGAAAGACGCCGCTTCAAAGAAATATGCCGCCAAAAACGCCGCTAAAAAATATAACCAATAAGATATTCCTGGATTCAACGTTGACTGTATAAAACAACCAATCAATAAGATGTATTGTTCGCACGTGGAATCGCATCCAATGTATACGGGCACGCTCAATATATTTTTCCTAATAATAGTATAATAATTTTAACGGGCAATACGATAATTTGAGGAGACCCCAATTTTTGCCTTGTCTCATTTGAGAAACGATAGGCTATACTAGTGAATTAATTTCACCAAAAGACACTCAAGAAATAAAGAATACATTTTTCTCTTCAAATTAGGAGTGTTAATTGAACGAATTTAGAACTGGTGATAAAATAAAACAGTGGACACATTCAACTTAATGATGTTGTTGCTCACCTAAAAGACATTAACAAACTTTCTGAAAAATCTATTTTTTCTTACCGAGAAGTCATTAATTAACTCTTTAATTTTCAGAAATAAAATTAGCGTGGTATCGCGCTCGCAGGCCAGAATGATTATGTCAGCTACACGCTACACAATCACAATCTATGAATCAATTATGGCTCCTTTTATTATTACTGTAGTCATGAACCTTCTTTCATTCTATTCAAAAAAAATTTCTTGCATATTTTCTCGTATCTGGGATAGTTATCGAGATATTTATTAATTGTTAATTAATAGGTACGATCTTATCTGTTAAATAACAAATCAAAAATTGAAAGTCAATGTTTGTTTCAGAAGCCGAAATGAACGAAACGAAAATGCATTCAAATCTACCTATCTGGTTGGTGAACACTTTAAAACCTCAAAGCTTATAATATAAGATCAACCAAGAAGATAGTTGAAACGTTGGTAAAAATAATCTAAACAAAGCCGCAAGCGAAAAGCTGGATTTAGTTTGATTCGAAATTGAATTTGAACTCCGGACTTTAATCTAAAAATTTTCGAGCATTTTTAAAAACTATTTTGATTTCAGTAGGAAACTATATTGTGTAAATAATATAGAAAATATTTTTCAATGTATAGCTTCTTTCCGTAGAGATATGGCCTGAAAATCGATAAAAAAATTTGATTTTCTCCACTCTGTTTTTAAAAGGAATAACTGATTGAGATGCACAAAATAATATTTTCAACTGAGACTTGCGTATTTTGTGTTTGCAAAATCGATGAACTTTCTTCCAATTTTGATTCTCTGGATACTATTCTTGCAAACCAAAAGTACATAATTGTTAAAATAAGTGAAGTATTGGTTCATTATTTGGTTATAACAGTTATTGCTTTTATTTGTCTTTATAATATTCACTGTTTGCATAAAGTCGATTTCCCTTTTCCATGCACGTCACGTTCCCGTAGTGTGGATCCAATAAACCAATAAGTTCCAGATTTAAAACTAATAAAAAACTTTATGTAAAGGTAACAAAAGGAAAACTCTCTGACCTGCTATCCTGGATTCGTCGAACTTGTTCTCGGAGTTGGAATCCTCTCTTCGCGTTGACGTACCTGCACAGACAATTCCTTTTCAATTGTTGAAGGAAAACGAAATTTTATTGCGCATTTTTTTCCCCTAACTTTAAAGTTTTTCTACGGCGCGGTGACGGGTTCAAAGTAAAGTTTTTTTTTTTTATTACTGTCAAAGAACTTACGGTTGGTTCAATAAAACATTTCAACAAGTTTACCGAAGCATAGCATCACTAGTTAATTATTATTATAAGTGAGAACTTGAACTGTCAAAAGCAAAGTTGATTTCTGGCATTGAAAATTGAAAAATATGTTACCAACCGTAACAGTATATCGGATAACATCTTCAATTTAGGATAATTTTGCGGTAGGTAGAGCATTTTGCAATGCATCTCAAAGCTAATCAGCAATATACATAAAATGAGGTATCTAAATCCTCTCCAAAAAGTAGGTTGAACGCAGTTGTAGTGAAAAATCATAAATTTGTAATGTAATCTATTTTGAAAAGGAATGAAGTTTTGTCGGTTACAAGAACCGAGAAACGTGGAAATTGAAAATAAAGAGAAATAAAGGAAAATTGGAGGATTAAAAATTTTGGTCCTGGGCGGGATTCGAACTGGCGTCCTCAGCATTGCCGGTGCTACGCTCTAACCAACTAAGCCATCATGACCCTACAGATCTTTTTGATTTTTTGATTGGTGTTGTTAGAGGAAGTTCCGTGGTTCTCCGCTTATTGCCAAATTTCTCAATCCTCCAATAAACCCACTCATTTATGACATCGGTCCTAACTCGAATAAGCTATGTACTTATTACTATGTAGGTTTTGTCCATGTGTTTTGAAACTTGGTGTATGCGATGCCCGCATAAGAAATGTTGAAAGGGAATGAAGTTTTTTCCGTTACAACGACCAAAAAGCGTGGATATTGAAAATGAAGAGAAAGTTAAGGAAAATTGGAGGATTAAAAATTTTGGTCCTGGGCGGGATTCGAACCCGCGTCCTCAGCTACGTTCTAACCAACTAAGCCACCATGACCCTACATCGATCTTTTTGATTGTTGTTGTTAGAGGAAGTTGCGTGATTCTCCGCTCATTGCCAATCTTTTCAATCCTCCAATAAACCCACACATTTATGGCATTGGTCCTAACTCGAATAAGCTAGTTATTATACAAAAGATCTGTAGGGTCATGGTGGCTTAGTTGGTTAGAGCGTCGCACCGGCAATGCTGAGGACGCGGGTTCGAATCCCGCTTAGGACCAAAATTGTTTATCCTCCAATTTTGGTTAACTTTCTCTTCTTAATTTTCAATAATCTATTTTATCTAAGTAAGCGCATTAATTTATTTTAAAAATGGGAAAATGTTTGAACGTCGTACTTTCAATGAAGGTAGATTTGAAGCTATTCTACATAGGTACTGAAACAGCATATTAATTTAAATAATCTGTCTTACTTTTTTTTATTTGAGATGATGTTGCTTGATGAGTCACAATTTTAACAGTAGTGGGTGCGGGGATTTCTGCAATAAAAAAAAATGCAATTTTGATAAAATAATGGATAAAATTTATCGCAATAGGTTCATAAAACCACAATTCTGTTAAAAATAAGTGAACACAGAATTAACTCCAAAATAAGTATCCCCTCTAAATGTTCCCCACCAAAAACAACATTAATTATGCTTTAATATTATTTCTCGGCTTTTGACAAGAAAATATTTTATCTTGGCCGAATCTTAGCATACTCTCGGCTTAGAGGTCTCGAATTACGGAGATAAAACAAGGAAAAAAACACGACTGTGGCTGAGAATTCGGCATCGGAGCGAGCAAGCAATATAATTATTTTAATTAAGCCAAGTTTCACTCATTCACTCACCTTCTAATTTAATAACTCCGTCCGTTTCTCCAAGCGAGTTTTTTGCGACACACTTGTAAGAGCCGAAGTCATTCTTGTTAACCTTACGTATTTTGAGCATCATATATTTCTTGTAGCCATTGTCCGTGGAAACCGCCTCATATTTCTCGCCTGAAAAAAAAAAAGGCTTATGAAGGGGACTATAATCAAAGAGCTCTCACGTCAAAGGATACCTAAAATTTGTTTCAGGATTCGAAGGACTATATTTCGAATGAAGAACATTATTGCGAGAAAAAAATTAAAACCTCTACAAAAGGTGCATACTACAATGTGTGATAAACCATTATTATTTAAAAGACATTCGCCCGTTGTCATATCGACGTAAATTTTATTCTTGAATTTTTATTCGCTAATAAATTGATACACTTCCTTATGGGTAAAAAAGAATTTTCTGAAGGCGACTGAAATTTCTCATGAACATATTTCTTAGGTTCTTCTTTTAAAAGAAATGAGTATTATTTTTTGTGCCCAAATCCAATAATGAGAGATAATGTGCTAAACGAGATTTCAGTCGATTTGCCATCTTATTCCTCACCTTTGTCTTTAACAATCCAATTCTAACATATATTGCCGAACTTATCATGCATTGTTCTACCATTACCCCCTGAGTAACTATGAAACTGCGTGTGCATTTAAATCATTATTTCTACGAACAATAAAAGTCAAGACCTTTAGAATTCACCCGCTTAAAATTTTTTCACGAGAACAGCTACCACCACCAATACCCTTGTTCTCGCTGGGTAAGGTAAGCAATATTGAAAAATATCCGTCAATTGCTAGATTATTCCATCAAGGCTCCATTGTCGAAAATTCCATTTATCGGGTATGCAGGGCGAGGAAAACCACCTATTTAAAATATTATTTCATCAAATCCTAACTTTTTAGAACGTTTTCTATAAAAAAAGCAAATGATAAATGTTGCAACCATGTATGCGCTGGCAAGTAGGGGCGAGCGTTGACGCGCCACACCAAAAGGTACCGAAGGGTAGATAGGAAATGAGAGACTAGAGAGAACAAGCTTGTCTGCCATTGTTCATTATTTAATTTTTATTTTGTATTAAACTGATTGTTCAATCCAATTTGTGATTAGTTTGTATGTCATAAGGAACATTCACAGGTCAGTTGATTAAATGTTTTTTTTTTTTTTTTTAATTTATACAAGTATTATTTTTTTCATTTTATGTTATTTTTTTGTTTGTTTATAACATTTTTTATAACATGTGCATTGTTCATGTATTTAACAAAAATTGTTTCGTGCTGTGAACACCGCAGATAAAGAGTAAATTGAAACCTAGAAAAATTATATGCTGTCTTTTGTACTGGGATTTTGATTTTTGGTATTCAGAGCGTACATAGGCCCTTGTTGAATTTACTAACATTTTCCTACCCTGACGAGCGAATATCCTGGCAAACAAATTAAAAAATCATTCTAGAGATATTGGCTCAAAGTAACAACTATAGCTGAGTAGCCTCCCGTAACCAGGGACCTTAGTACCTGCTGGTGGAGCTGGCTTACTAAACAAAAACTCTTCTGTATTGAATATAGGTAGTGTTGATTGAATGTAGTGTGTGTAATTGAAATTTCAGCACAAGAACAAGGACGGTACCTAATTCAAACTTTCATTGACTCACAATTATTTATTAAAATGACACAGTATGTTTTGATTTTCGAGGAATGTTAGATTGAGGGTTTCTCTGCCGTGTTCTTTCCCCTCGTGAGTTCTAGGTCGAGAACGTTACGATTTTCTAATAATAAATTAGACGTTTCACAAATTTTTCAATTATTTTACATGTCACCACTTCCCTCAAATTTCCCAAATATTTGCTATTCTCGGGCGCATGTCAAGTAAGTATAAGTGAGTAAATTTCCACAACGTAGATATTTGTTTTTTTATTTAATTTTTCAGAAGATTTGTTAAAAGAAGAGATATTAAAAATTCACACCGTTCAATCTTGCTGAACGAACCCGGGTATGTGATACTACAAGGGGTAGATCAATAAGTACGAAAGACGGGTCTGAGTAACTATGTCTTCGGGGTTGAGAATTCGTTCTTGATACTCCTCATACAATGTTGCCAGATTGTGCACAATATTTTTAGTCAAGGATTTCTTACACTGCCCTTAGAGCTGTTCCCCCCAGGTCCTGCTACACCAAGACGTTGATCTGCTTGACGACAGTTCCTTCCTTTGTTGTAGCTGAAACAACCAAAGGGCATTGGCATTGAGAATGAAGCATTATCATATCCCAGTATCGCTCGTGTTCATCCACAAACATCGGTAGCTTGGTGGGCCAATCATGCTTCTCGACGATTCTGTCGCACTGTAGTTGAAGTGAAATCTTTCACGTTTTCGTTATCCCCAGTAACCTCCTCAGTTGTTTTCATACTTCTGACTCAAAATTTTTTGCCTGATCGGTATGAAGTTATATCGGTACCCCATGTCTGGCTATGATTTTTTCAGCAATGCTTCAGCCATATCAACTGCAGTTTACTCCCAGGTAGAACCAGACAATTACGGATTCATTTCTCCTCGAGATCGCATCTTTGGTCCCTTCTTAGAAGCGTAGAGGTTACTTCTCTTGAATCGTTTTCCGAAAGCCCTACGATAATTGACACAATAATACCAATCTCTTTCTCGAGCCAATATTCTGTTAGAACCAAAGTGTCCCCCACTCTGACTACTGTGTAGTTCACGCAGCAATCTGTCCACTCTAGTTCTTTCCACAAGAGTCTGATATACTAGACTTCTCCCACCTGGATTCTTCTATTTGCGAGTGATTAAGTCATCTGGTAGGCACATCAAATTCAATTGGAGCCAGTATTCCTTCGTTGTTTGACCGAATCTGAAAATTTCTTCCACCGAGGTTTCTTTTTCGTTTTCTACCAGGCACTATTTTCAATTTATTATCAACGTTTTCTTCTTCCTCAATGTCTTCTTTGGTTCAGTATTCTTGACATTTATCTCTTGAATAAGTTCAGACTTTTGAATGAATTTTTTTCCTGTGGCCTTAGGCACAAATTTGCAAGATTTGTGAATCTGGTTTTCCTGATAGGCGATCAGCGTTGGAATGAATTTTTCTTTTGCAATGCACGACTTGACTTCCCGGGTTTCTTAAAATTTAGCAGCTGCTGCAAGGCATAATCGTTGTTGCCTCTCCAAGGAATTCACTAAAATTACCGATTACCACTTCTCGCAGTTTTGAATTTTGGGGGAGATAGGCTCCTATTCCAATTTGCGAAGCGTCGTCGTGCAATGCAATAGAATAAGCTGAAAACTGAGGCACTGATCACTCTGTTTTTAAGCGCGATAAAAAACCGAAAAAAATCCGCATCATAGTCGGCGTTCTTCTCGGTTAGTACATGTAGCAGATTCGTAATCATCACAAAATATTTCGCAAACCGGTGGTAGTAACTGCTTAGGAAGCTTCTGACAGCATGTTTGGTATGCGCCAATATCATCTGGGCTTTTTTGGGTTCGTTTCCATTCCTCTGAAAGATACGACATGTTCCAGGAAGTTCACGCTTTCCTGTATTGGCACGAGTTCTGGCAAAAACTTGGCAATCGTTCCGAAATACTTTTTTTTTCAAAGTTCGAGTTATAATGCATTATACATTGTTGTCTGATATGAAATTTACTCTGGACTTTTTTTTTGTAAATAAAACATATTATTTATTCCAACCTTTTTCTACTATGTTTACTGTTCCGACGATAAAAATAGGAATCTAAATTATTGAAAATAGAATGTAACTTTATGCAAAATATTTAACAAAAAAAAAACAAATTAATACAGCGAGTGCATCACCGATAATAAATACAAAATAAACTTTTTGTGCGGTTTATTAATCCAAAAAATTTCCGAATGGTTTTTGTGTGACACGTTATAAACAATGTAGCAATTAATCGCCAAAAAATATACCGCCCATGTGCAAATGCAAATGACTTGTACATACTATTTCGACAAATACGCATAGGGTTTGTAAATAAATCATGTTAAATTACCAATTTATCGGAACTTTATACATACCTATTTGATTCGGCTTATTTGCCAATAAGTTTAAAATTGTATGCATGACAGAAAATATGGTCAATAATTTATTGGATTTTATCTCTTTCAACTTTTTTTTGACTAATTTATAATAGGTAGGTGTTTGTTAATTTTTTTTTTCTTCCATTTCGCAGGACTAGAATGTTGAAAAATATAATTTCAAAATAAAAAAATTCTTGACAGTGTGCGGAATTTGAACAAAGACATTGAAGCTTATTTTCGGAAGCTTATCAGCTCTCGTCAGTGCAATATAAGCGCAAGCACGCCAACTCAGTTCCTAAGCTAGTGCTCACTATCCAATCCAGTGGATACTGGATAGCGTCGATATGAATCCGGGATGCGCGGTTATTATAAAGTGAAGCGAGGATAATAAGGAACCATTGGCTACCGACAAAAACTAGACGTCAAATTCTGTAGATATCTCTAGTGTAACATTTGAAACGTCACAAAAATATATTTATTGTTCATAATTATTTTTATATATTTTGGACTCATTTAAAAGTACTATTTCGTACACCTAGCGACATCTATGATTCTTCTGACTAGTTTTCCTAACCTAATATCGAGAATTCTGTTATTTCCGAGAAACTTGTAGCGCTGTCATTTTTATGATTTCGACAAGCTTGACGGACAAAGAAATAAAAGACAGAACCAATTTGGGTACTTTTGACTTGCCCTGTTCTCTTTTGTCTTGGGACCGAAGCAGGTCGTCCAGATTTTTAGAACTTTAAAAATCTTAAAACTTTGTCTTTGTTTTTGTGCTTGATCGTGTCTTCTAGAAAGTTTCCTGGAAAATCAACCGATTGTTGATTTTTGTGAAGATTTTGGAAAGTGAGGTTACTATCGGCCGTTCAGGCATGTAAATTCCTTTTTCTCTCTGATGAATGAGTCCTCATATTCCCTCGATTCATTCAGGCACCTTCGGCAGGACGAAAAATCCGTCCCTGCACTTCTCCAAGTGAATATTGACAAATTTGAGATCACGCTGTCCTGGAAACTCAGAGCAAATCTGGGTCCCCTTTTCGAGAAAAGTTTGTGTCCTGTAAGAAGTTGATCCCCAACCATT